TAAAACGCTTCGAAATATCTGACCTTCTTTAAAAAAAAATTCCCTTAAGACCCTAAAGTGGTATCACTGGTGACTGGAACACTTAGAATTCTAAACTGCAGCATGAAATGGTTGATGGGAAATCACCCGGAATTGTCAGGGCCCATTTTTTTTTTTGCATAAAAAGCAAATCTTATTAATTTTTCTCCTTCCTCCATGTCTTTTTTTACTGTGATAATTTATATTGTGCTGACAAAGAATCTCTCATGATTGACTGGAACAGGCGACAGCACGATAAGAGCGCCGTGGCTGATGGCGTTAACAATGTGGCAGTGAGCGAAGGTGAAGAAGTGATGGACGGTGGTTTCGCTTTGGACGATTTCGAGGAAGAATCGCTGCATAATTTCATGCAAAATACTGGCAAAACAGCGAATTGTAGAAACACTTATAACGGCAGAATTTCTGTTAACGGTAGCAACATTCGCTCACGAAAACGGCGCAACACCAGTTCACTCCGTGCAGGTCCGTATGAGTGTTTTTTATTTGTTTTTTTGCCAGAGCCGGTGCTTGATGTACGAGGGAAAAGTTTTGTGGGAGTGAATCTGAATAAGGGAACGGAGTAGCTACCTTTAAATTGGACCGGCATTCCTAGGTGCTACTCAAGCCATTTTTGTTATCCTTTCTTGTTTTGATCTCTTCGGATGTCTCGATGTGCGGCCGTATGCGAAGAGGACGTTCCGACTTTCATGCAAATAGTTTTTCGTTGTTTAATCGTAATTTAAGTAAATTTGGGTTTTTATCAGTTTTTTTCTTCTTTTTCTGCATGACCCAATTTCAGTATTTGAATTCAGTTAGCAAAATCGTCTTGCAGCCGTTTGTATCCCATTTTGTTTGGGGAAAGGGGGAGAGGGGAGACAAGGAGAGGGTGGGGGGGGGGGCAGGGAAGAAGCCTGGCTGCGACACCAGCTTTTTTTGAGTAATAGTAAAAATTATTCGGTAAAAGCGCTGATCCAGGGATTTATTTATTCTTCCCGAAAGTCGCTTTGCGCAATGAATACAATAATTTGAAGCAATTCCAGATTCATTGGGTGTTGTCGATGAAACGCCAAATCACTTCCGGGACAGTGTCCGTCGCCGCAGATTGCGAAATGCGAATTTGGATATTCGCCGAGCCCATGAGGTGCAAGAAGTGGAACGCGCTATTGCCAGGGCTTCTGGGTCAATTGAGCAAACTCCAGCCCAACAACAAATGTTTGTTATTGATTTTACATGTATAACATGAGCCTGCCTGCCTTTCGAGAAGTTTCTGTGCTACTTTTCATATATTTTGATCTGCTGAGAAGGAGATATTGACTTTCAGTCAGGCGCCATTGCTCACTTCAGCTCGTTTCAGTGCTTCTTCAAACGTATTCTCGCCTAGTGCGTCCGTGGAGAGCACAGTGGATGCAGGTTAGATTGTT